CAAAACTACGCAAGCCAGAGCCTACCACGCACCACTCATCCAACTCCTCATCCACCAACTTGAAACACACGCACCTGCAGCTGCAGAAGGCTCCGCGCTCCGAGCCCTCAAGGCAACCGCCAATGATTTCGAAAGAGCCCAAGCCAAATTACAAGCCCACGGCCTTGAGCTTACACCACGCAAGGACGCCGGCATTCGTCCCTCTGCACCTTCGGCCCGCCCACACATCAACCTCCAAATTTTGAGGATGTCCTTCAGCCACCCCACCCATCGCTCAAAGATGATGTCCCTGAAGCATGGACCACCCCTGCCATAGCCACATGGGTCACTACATTTGATGACGCCATTCAAGCGTCAGCCAAGGAGGTCCTTCGCCTCCTACAAACGAGCAAGGGCACCACTGAGCAACTCCGCGAGGCCGCAACAAGGTACGGCCTCCCTCTGGCCAAGCTCAATCGCGCCACTAACTATCAAAACCCTACAAAACCTTGTCAGCATCGGCGCAGCACTCGCTTGCTGACTCAGCACCCTCGGCCAGCAATCCCACAACCACACCAACCTGCAACAACTCTTCCACCTTCACCGTGCCCTCTCTACCCTCATCCACAAAGCACTCTACATCGAACGAGGCGAGGCCATCTTTGCCGCCGGCCTTCTCCACCTCACCCTTATCTTTGCCTATCCCTCCACCACCCAACGATCCCAACAGTGGCAGAAGCGCTTCCGCCAACTCCACATTCTCCCACACGCTTACCACTACCACAACTTCCTCTCCTCTAACTCCGTTTATGTCAAACTACAGTTCAACACCCAACCACCACAACGATGCTACCATCAACACGGCCACTTCTATATCGGATCCACAGCTATCGGCATCCCTCACACGGAACACAATCGGCGCGCCAAGCTCAAACAACTCCAGAACAACATCCCAATCTCTCCCTCCGCTATTGGCACACCCACAACACCATCGACCAATACACAACCATTCAACTTTCCTCACATGACACTTACGATCAAGCCTGGGTCCATGAACACAACCACATTTCCAATTGGATGCCTTCCCTGAACTGGCCATTTATTTCGCCCCACCTCAAACTCAAGGCTCAGCAATTCACAAAACACCGCGCCCACTTCTACTCTCGCCTCGCTACCCACAAACGTCTCTTCCGACGCCTGCGACGCCGACAGAGGACCATCCACGAACCACACCTTTTCACCTCCACCAAACACCACGCTCCTACCCTCTTGCGCAACCTCACCAAACACACCTCAGCCTCCTTCGAAGCAGCCAAACAACTTCGCAGTGGCCGACACACTGATCTCGAGCTCTATGCCATTAGACGCATGGCTGCCAACCTCGAAGAACCTGGACGCACGAGGGCCCTATCATTCACAAAGCCATGCATTTTCGCAACTTGACACCACCACGTGCCAATCTTCCCCTTACCATTCCTTTCCTGGCTCACGACGACTTCATGAAACACACCCAGCAATGGCTCCGCACTGCCATCCAACAACACAAACACCTTGCCATACCTCCACCTTCCCACACATCGCCTCCGGGAGGCTGCTCACAAGACGCTACGTGCTCAACTCCACAACCACAGAAAATAGGAAGAATGCCTCGGCTCTCCCCCTGCTCCGGCTGATTTGCCCTGCGCGCATGCCACCACCTCCGCACGCTTGTGCTGGATCCCGACTGCCCCATGACAGATGGCCATTGCATCCTTACCCTCGACCAGTTACAACTCCCACCCCACCTGCGCATCTTCCTTGCAGCACCTTTTACCCCACTAAAGCTCGTTACTTCCTCACTTTCCAGGCAGCCTTCAAAAAATGGCTCCGCACTCAAGGTTTCCCACCTTCCCTTGCGCAACACATCGACCCTTTCCTTCACACTTTCCACCTCAAACAACACCCACGCTTCACAGCCCGTCTCTTACGACAGCTACAGGAATACCTGGGCGACAAAGTCGTCCTTCACCATGCGGATCATGAACTCCAACAACTCCGCATTTTCTGCCCCCAGCAATACTTCAAAGGCGCTCTCAACACCTGGCAGGCACCTGAACTTTTCCAACCGCTACCTCACACCGGCAAACATTCAGGATCACCTCACTGCCACGGTCCCTCCATCTCTACGGGCTCGCTACAAATGGGGCTTCCGTAAAGACTTCACGGTCCCCTACGGTATTGCCCATCTCAAAGCCAAAAAACAATGGCAGAAAGGCCGGATCATTATCTCCTACTACCAATCCATCGCAGGCAACCTCTTGCGCATCACCAGCAGAGCCCTAGACATCATACTACAACATCTTTATCCCCAGCACCCTGGCCAGCTCTCCATTCCCCAGGTTTGGCACCACTTCCGTGCCGCCAGCACTCTGCAATGTCGCCATCACCCTCATCGAGCACTCCTGGCAACAGCTCCACAATAACCGCCTTCACCACACCGATCTCCACTTCACATACTACCGATATGTGGACAATCGCTTCATTGTCCACAACGAACACTTCCTCTCCCACCCAGCAATCCAAACCCTCATCCACAGCAATTTCTTCGGCGATCCGGTCGAACTGGAAACAGTTGATGACTTTCACCTTCTCGGATTCAACATTGATTTACCTCAACGCACCGTCACCTACATTACATGCAACCCACTCAACCGTGGAAAATCCGAGATGCCACCAGTGCCGGCAGCAACCGGCTGACCCTCTGCGGTCTCGCCTCACGCCTCCACGCCATCTACACCTACACTTTCCCACCGCACGCAGCGGATGCCGCGGCCGAGCAACTTGTGTGCCTTTACGTCCTGAAGGGACATGCAGCAATAGACTGCCAGCGTTTTTTGAAAGGAAAGCAACCCGCTGCACTCCATTTGCGCCGACTACGGCACCGTGTGTGTGTGCCCCCCTCTGTTTCGAAGAGTTTAAATCCTACCACTTTCACGCAGGGGGATGGAGAGGACATGTGAGGCTCCATCCAACGAAGCTCCTCACATGATCCTAGGATATCGGCAAGGACGCTTGCCGACGTACCTGCAATCAACTGTTGCTCACGCTGTTCCACTCTCGGTTTGTTTCATGGTGGTTTTTGCATGCTACTCCCACCAAACAGGTTTCCCACAGCTGCTCTCTGCCGCTGCCGTTCGTTCAGCCGCGCTTCTGCAGACAAGTGAACAGAATGTTAAACAATTCAATTGCGCTGACCTTTTCACCTTGCGTTTCCACCATTCCTTTTGACCTGGGAATTGAGTTAACTGCAAACCCATTGTCAAAGTGTAAGTGTAACCCTTTGAGTCACAGGGATCCCTTCGGATTGGTTTTCCTGTTCTATTTTTTGCAACTTCAGGCAGGGGCCACGGACCTGCCACTGCCGCTGTGGCCAATGAAGACTGGCAGTGGCAGGTGTGAAAACGTACCCGCAGCAGTGGCCCTGGGCGGCAAACCCCTTCAGTGGGGGCCGTAGCAGTGACAGTTTCTGGGTGTGTGCGCCGCTGGGATGTCACTTTGAACGCATTGCGGATAGTCCATGGGCGCCAGCGTGCACGGCGTGCACAGCTTGGATGTCCATCATCTTCCTCTTCATCCTCCTCTTAGCGTATACATGTTCACCTACACTTAAACTAGGCTACCGGCTACCGCTTGGTTCCCTTTCATCGCAGCGACGTGCCTTAATTAGCTTTGTTTGATCCTCTTTTCATGTCTTCTCTTTTGTCCACGACTTTGCGCGCACACATGCACATAAGCCGGACCCTTACTGTGTAACCCTTGGAATCAGAAGGGGGTCTTTGGTCTTTTCGGGGTCGTTAACTTGCGGGGGCCCGCGGCCCTCGCGCAAACGCACGCCAACGAAGCTATGCGTGATGGTGGAAGCCGGGTCTGATAACCCTGGTGTACCTGCAAATTGTTGGAGGCTGTTTCAGGTTTGGTGAGGCCGTGATGCAGTACAGTGCCAACGAGCTCTGCAGGCATGCGCTCGTCGATCGAGCCTTTTTAGTTTTCGAAACTTGGCATTCCTTGGAAACCCTAGACTTGCACGTCATGGTCAGACCACCTTACTTACACCTTTCCCTGGTTTATGAGGCTGGCGTGTGGCAAACTGCAATCTGTTCCGCAATATCCCGAGTGTGTCAAACCCTGTTCCAAAGGGACAATGTAAATCCTGCAGGGGCACACGGCATCCACGACCCACAAGGTGCAATGAAGCTCTGGTCGTGGATGGGACGGGAAGGCGGATCAGAAGGCGGATCGCCTTCCCGCACCTACTTTTGAATTTCAGCTGGTGGTGGTGCCTAACAATTACGTGTTGTTCTCGGCCGTTTCTGAGGTTTGTGTCCGTTTTCTGCACTAGATTGGTACACTCAGCCGCGGAAGTCACGGTATAGAAGGGAAAAACTTGAGTTCCCCAACGCTAGGAGGGGGGTCCCGGCATAGTCCTTCCAAAAACCAGCTTCCCGCATGGAAACGCTTCCTGCTGTGATCGGCGTTTTGTCTGCCGCTGCTGCCTTGTCTCCTTGCTTGTTTCCCCATCTGCCTCCCCACTTGTTTGCCTGTGCGGTCGGCGTTTTGTTTGCCGCTGCTGCCTTGTCTTCTCCCCAACCAAACGCGACATCGCCACGACTTCCATACATTCAAACCCCAATGGAAACGCTTCAAAAACATAAAACCGCCACGACTTCAACATTTGATTGTATTGCAGTAAAGGGCTAACACACGACACATGAATACCGGAATTATGCTCTTACGAGCTCTCTTCTAAGTGTGTGTGTGCACGCATCTCTCTCAATGAAGTAAGGGACAAGGTGTGGTGTAGCAGCTGCATAGCGTTTCTTTGGACAATTCCAAACAGCGAACTATTGAACCATGATTCTCGCTGCCACATGATTTCGGGATTGGACTTCGTGCATTTGTACGATTCGTAGCTAGAGAGCTAGAGCAAAGCGGATGTTTCATGACGTGTCTGCTTCTGTGCGATTCAACTTCGGCCCAGGAGCTGTTTTGACAACTCGAAGGGTGCGCACAATGCGGATGAGTTTAATGACCCGAAGGCTGCGCGCCTGTGCCTCTTCACTGCCGGTCGAAAGCCTAGGTTATGACACATGCGCCTTGAGAGTGCATGGCTCAAATCCGAGAAGGATTGCATGGCATCAATAGTGCACACGGATCTTCAACAACCCTTCAAAAGAAGCTTTACAGGTCTGTAGGAGTGTGCATGTACAGTATGTGCCACCTCTTCCAAGTTCGAAACCTACAGTTAATCAGGAACCTCCAAAAAATCTAGCTCAGCACGGGGCAACTACCTGCTGTGGTTGAGCACGCTTCACTCTGCCAAGCAACGCAGGAAACACAAAAAGCTCAAAAGCGCTGATGACCACTAGAGCTGCATCAAACATATTCATCAACATGACTCCTTCACGAGGATCATAGTACCAGCGCGAGCGCAACACATAAACTCGGACGAGCACATCCAAAACATAGATGCAAAAGAATATGATTTCGACTACCTGAAACACCTCAGGTGAACCACTGCCAGGGTCAACGGATGTAAGCTGCAAATAGAAACTGGACACTTCTGATTGCAGCTGCGTGGAGGCAATCATGAAGCCAAGGTTGATGCCTCGGTGTGGGAATTGAAAACCAATGGATCCATACAAATCCTAGCGACAATTGTCGGAAGGAAACAACAAAAAGTCAATCCAAAGCCAAGTGCCAAGTCCAAGATACATACCACAAACGCCATCCAAGCATCCAAGGGCCCTTGCACAAAGCGCTCTAGTGGCGGATCTGGCACACTCCGTTCACTCAAGATGTCCTTTCCCAAGGAAATCGGGCCTTTCCAGCTGGATTCTAACTTCGGCTCAGATGGGCTACCCTCAGTGACCATAGAGCCAAGCCGAGCAACATTCTCCCCTTCATGGCTTTCTCTGGCTGCTTCAAAGAGGGACTGGTGATGCTCATCCTCTTCAACTTCTGAGTCTTGGGATAGGGCTTTGTCAAGCATTCTCTGGATAATGCCCTCTTGCTCTCGAAACTTCTTGTCGAGGACTTGCACGATCCAGCGCTGTTGTTCTGACCATTCCTCGTCCTCCTTCGAGGAAAAAGATGTAGGTGGCATCATGGCTGGAGAGCTATCCACACAATCATTTTGATTCAGAGCCGAACTGCCAGAATTACGCACACAAATAGCAGAACCATGCAAAGGCAATACTTTGTCCTACCTTACAACAAATCTGGACAGGTTAGAAACTATGATCATGATCCATCCACTCTCCAATGGATCAAATGAACCTAAAATGGCCAAGAGCTAGCATTGATGTTAGTCCTGAGTTTTGCGCCCGAAGCACTTTGACTCTATGAATTGTGCAAATCCTGGAGCAGTATGATGGCAAAGATAGCACTGGCCCTTTTGGCAAGCTGCTGATGTTAGGTGGCCGACTGCAGTGGACTCTGCAGCCAAACTTCCGTGTGGTCGCAATTTCAGGCTTGAAGTTTCATCTTACTGATACTTGTGAGGCTGAACAGCAGATAATCTTCCTTGATGCTTGGTGATCGACACAATCAAAGATCATTGCTCTTCGACAGGACTTTGAGGGTGAACTTTGCGATCACCACTGACAATATTCAATAGTTGGATTCAAAGCCGCAAGCAGGCTGCACTTTTGTTCGCCTGTATGGATGGTACTTTTTCACTGAACAGGCACGATCCCACTTTGACACCACTCGCAGTGGCAAGTGCCGTTACTGTGAGGGTCCAGACACCTGGGAGCATCGTCTGAGGTGGTGCCCCCAACATGTGCAAATCCGCCAAGGCTTTCGCAACTTGCACCGACAATGGAATGCACTGCCTCGGTGCCTCTCTTTGCATGGCATTTGCCCTCGCGTCCCTGCTCAGCATCATTTCTGGATTGCCCTTCAGAATATCCCGGATGGCACGGAGGTTTTTGAGCGATTAGACTTCCCAGATTGTCAACTGTTTGTCGATGGCTCCTGCTTGCTCAGCTCGGAGCCGGAGAAGGCGCTGGTGGCTTGGGCTGTTACCACGCCACTAAGGACTTTGTTGTGAGTACTTCGCCACTGAGTGGACTTAGACAGACCATTTCCCGGGCGGAGCTGACTGCCTTTTTGTCAGCAGCGCGCTGCGCAGGACGATTGAGACGAGAAATCCACATTTGCACGGATAGCCAATACGTTCACGATGGCTTTCTTGGAATTGTCCATGGACAAGATTGTGAAGACACAGAGAACTACGCTTTGTGGCGACTGGTTTTTGAAAGCTGGGAGTTGCTGGAACATCCGGTTGTGGTTCACAAAGTCTGGTCTCATTTATCTGCCGATTTTCTCGCGATCCATTCACGGACTATATACTGGGTTGCTGGAAATTTCACTGGCTGAAATAGCTGCCACCACCACAAACAAACAAAAACCATTTTTTGTGGCTTTGCAAAAACGTCTGTGTGGACAGCTGGCTCACTTCAAAAGATCAACCAGGAGCTTTATCCTGGAGATTGCGGAGGCCCATGCATCCTGCCCCAATGAGGCCCTGGAGTCGCTGACCCTGAATGAGCTGAGGGGGCATAGAGTCACTAATCCGAATTCGTTTTTATTTCATTATCTTGATTTGGCTGAAAGTAGTCGCCAGGTGCGGCAATCACAGATTGCTGATATCTTCGGGAGGGATTTCGTGATGTCCATTTTTGGTTGGTTGGTTGGTTGTGAGGGTTTGTCGGATGGTACTTCTTTAGTTTCCTTCCTGGAGTTGTTCATCGGCTGGCGAATGGCTACTGGCCATTACATTCCAGTGGAGGATCCCATCTCACGAAGGTGGGTGGATCCGGACAATCTGCTGGTAGATTGTTTTTGAGGCACCTTGGCACACCGGATGTCGATCTTTCGGAGGGTTTGTTTTGGCAATTTTTAAGGAGCTTGGTTTGGTTGTTTCTCCGGGTGGTGTGGTTTTGACTCACTGCAACGTTGTGAAGATGCCTGGTGTGATGGTGTGCTGGCCCTCGCAGCTGGCCACTAGAGTGGATAGCTTTTGAGAGGACAGTTTCATAGATCCCCGTTGAGGTCTAATGTCGATGTGCCGTAGATGATCGCAAGCTCCACTGCTCAACATGAGCTGTGGCTTGGACAGATTCGCAAGTTGCGCTATGAATTGTGCAAATTCCATGACAGAAGCCCATTCTTCGTCGGAAGGTCACCAAGCACAGCTTGCGTACTCGGAATTATCATTCCCTCGCGGCAGGGCACAGCAGTTATCTCACCTTCAATGACACTCAATGTCTTGTATCAGCTTAGACTCAGAGGTTGAGTTTACATACTTCAGTTTTGCATCAACCAAGCTGCTATGGCACTTTTCATCAGCCACGAAGAGGTGCACTCATCTTCTCCTCCTTCTTCCACTTGCCATCCCGCAGAGCAAAAACAATTTAAAAAAAAAATAGCCGAGGGCTAAGCACGAATTGGGTGGTCGCTGAGGCACCTACCACTAGTGAACAAATTGGTGGCAAGAAACGGCTCGTCCTGTTGACTGTATATCGATAGTGCTTCTTCCTTCTCAATCAATCGCCTCACCGCAAACAGCAAGACCACCATGCATGCACTTGGACAACTTTCCACAAAACATGCACTTGTTTTTGATTACGTATGTTCTGCTGTGCTTGTCTTCACTCAATCTTGACCAAGGCAGAGTGGACATGAACGCAAACCGTGAAATCACAGGACACATTGCAAACATGGACGCTCAATCTTTGGAATTCCCTTTCAAAACATTTCGCAGAACAAAAAATGTACAGTTTGTACAAAAATGGATTGAGGTCACAGCACCTTCTTCAAATAATGGATTGAGGTCACAGCACCTTCTTCAAATATGCTTGACGACGTTCAAGTTGAGATACATTGCATCTTATCAAAGTTCAATTCAGGACCACCAAAGACTACTGCAAAATAAAACACTATTAAAAAACAAGGTGAGCCCGCAAACCCAAAAGCAAGAACCCCAAAATCACTGAGACGTTCCAAACTCCAGCCGCTCCATCTTCCATCCGCAGCCACTTCCAGCAAAGAGCCCACCAAAGCTGATCATGATGGCTTGAGAATTCCCTTAGTTTTCTTTTTCGGGTGCATTTTGAGGGTGTGATCCGCGCCCTTATTTTCCAATTGTTCAAGAAACTTCAAAAGATCTTCAGCCAGAGAAACACAAGTTTGTTTAAAGTTTTGGGTGTTTCAAGTCATGCAAACACACATATATATATATATAACAATAATTTTCTCAATTTCCAGAAATCTGCTGAAAACAATAAAAACCTGACCTATCAAAACCTTTCGAAGTCTACTTTTGTCTTTTGGATTCTTTTGGCTTGTAGAAGGCCGCGGTCACAGGCCGAAACCAGCACTTACAAGGGTAAGAGGTAAAGGGACTGCACCGTGAACAGGAAAGGCAGCTCCAGCTCGTTCAATTCAAACTATAAAGAACGGATTCAACAAACAGAAGGCAAAACCAGCCTCGGTTCACAGAATACTGAGTATACTGCGAACGGAACATTCTCCAGCTTGCTGCAGTGCTTCAGCAATGGACTGATCGCCTGGCGCACTTCAGACCCGGCAAAATGCACAGCACACAACGTTTGTTGGGGCATGGCCTTTCTGCAGCCTCCGACTAGGCCGTTTCACAAACCCAGTGAAGAACATGTTCATGTTTGCTGCAGACCATACAGGCACCGACACAGGAAGCCTGCTCTGGGAAGTTCAAGTCCCCCGCCAGAATTGTGTGAATTGTTTCATAGTCCTCCTTCAGCAGGCAACATGGATCCAAACCAAGCAGGCCAAGATGAATCAAAATTATGGAGTTGAAGAATATCGACCTCTGACCTGCTACGAATAACACAGGGGCTTCTCTTGGTTGGGCTACCAAGTCACAGAATACATGTCACCAGGAAGATGCCCAGGTTTTCCACAGACCTCTTTTGACCATACCTTTGGTTTGGTTTCGCCTCACGGAGTTGCCTGTTGATCTATTTCACTGTTCAACATGAAGCATCATCACGATGTTTGCACAAAGTTCAACCTGCGATCGCATCTCTTCAATCACTTCTCTTCTTTGGGGCCCAGGCGTGGTCATACAATCCGGAACAAAGCTCTGTGAGAACCTGCCACCACATTTTTGAGCCTACCACGGAAATTCTAAAGGAGCCTGATGGTTTACTTGGCCACACGAGTCACGATAGAGCTGCCTGTGCAGCTTGATCTGCCAGTGAGGGGCAGAAAATTCGATAGAAACTCAGCACCAAACACCAAGCGGACACGCCTAGCCGGTCGGTATACCCGTTGGGCGGGCCTTTCGGAAGCTTCGCCTGGGTTGGGCGCAAGGCTTCTTTGCCGCTTGGCTTCGTACTGGGATTTCGGCACTTTGCCAGGCGCTTTCCGTTATTAGCGCTCAGAGCACTAAACCCACATCGCCTGGTTTGGGACACGAACAAGAAAGCCCTTGGAAGAAGCTTCTCGTTGCAGGCGATCAGCACCGGTCAGCATTCTGTAATCAGTATATATAACTAGTTATCATATAATATATATATATGTATGTATGTGTTTACAATCATGTACATATATGTGAATATTTAAAAAAGTAAAGCCCCTTTTCCTTGCAACCCCAAGCTAGCAGCTTCGGGATATGGATGGTCAGGGTTGTGAGACAACGACGTGTTTGTGCTAGGTTGCAAAAACCGTTGACTCCGCCTGGAACCCGTGAAAACCGACTGAATTCGATGGGCTGGCGCCCATACCAGCCAGGGCCAAAGCCCTGCCAAGTTTCTGGATCAACTGGACCGTTTTCTTCACGTCCTTGGATGTCTTTCGGCATTCCTTCAGAATTCGAGCATTTTCGGACTGCAGGCCCACCACGTCAATTGGTTTCACATTGCCTTTGAGTTTGGAAATTCCCCGACAAAACTCTGTGATCGTAACCAAGCCATCTCCGTCATCTAGAATTTCAAACAAAGCCCCCCCAGTCGTGCACGGTCACATCAAGAACTTTGAGGTAGTACTGCACGCTAGGCAGGCTCATGGTTTCCATGAACTCTTCCAATGTCAATAGACCATCCCCATCATTATCAGCCAAATGGAAAAGAGCTTCGATCTTGCTCTGGTAGTTTTTGTACACGCGCTCCGTGTCTTCAAGCATCATGTCGGC